CAAACCACCTATCGGTTCTTCGAGCTTGCAAAACCTCTGAGTTTCTGTAAATGCTGCAACGCAAAGCAGGACTGAATCACAGGGCAGTGAGTTCGAGAGAACCTTTCACATCCTGAAATATCCTGATGTAGGTGGTGCACTGCATCGGATTGTAAATGCACGGTAGGTATAGCATCGCCAAGCAGCTCTGGCACTTCACTTCCGTGGACCTTTGTGAGATGGCCCGGAACTCTGTGCTGCAGAGTGGCTTTGATGAGGAGACCAAGGCCGGACGATTCGAAGGGAGCGGAGAGAGCTTTTCCATGAGTGCGGTTTCCATCCAACAGGTTTTCATCATAAGCTTTCAGGCTCTTTTGGAGATGATCCTAGTGCCGGAACGCTCTTGTAGACTTGGTGGTTTTCTATGAACAACTACATGGCTGAACCGCCAAACTTCAGTCACTGGCTCCGATGGTCTGCTCAGGCTACATGGTTTGGCTCCAAGGATTATCGCCACGAGAACAAGACTACCTCGACGAACGTACCGAACCTGAGGACGGGTGGATTAGGCTAAGTCGAAAGTCTTGTATTGAACGTGCTAGACTCTAGACCCTCTTTGTCGGACGGGTGTTAAGCAACGAGGCTTAGCACGAGAACGAGACTCGTTGCTGAGTATATTCTTGAGTGTTAGCTGTGTAGCTCTTTAGCATCGGTTGAATGTAGCTTCAACCATGCAGCAAGTTTCACGTGCGACTCAGCAGTAGAACGTGCCATACGAGCACAATCCTGATTCCAACGCATAGCACAAACGTCCATTCAGTTATTGAAGCTTCCAGCAAGCGCAACTTAAGCACGTGATGTTCAAGACGCGCGATTCAAAGGGCCACGCCGGGTGGTAGCACTATGGTCACTTTGGGCTTCTTGGTTCGGAGTGAAGAGGATTTGGCGCATTTGTTTGCTGTGGCTCCCACTGGACTACACGCGTGTCGCTCAGAGTAGCCGGATTCAGCAAACGGGAGTTTCCCGAAAATAGGGGACCCTGATATAGCACTCCAAATAATAGGATTCTTATAAAAAAGGACCCCAAAATAAGGTACCACTAATTTTCGGAAACCCCCAAATCGAGGCCCTTTCGGCAAAAAGGGGCGGCCGCCTGCCGCAAATCAGGAGGCCTCAAGTCAGCGGCACGACAGGCCCCAGTCAAAAACAAGCCGGCAGCATACGGAAAGCGTCCGACATGGGCCGGATAGGAAAATCACCCCCCTTATGTGACGATTCGGATTTATCATGTCTCTTAAACACGTTCCCCCATTTGGCGTTTCCGGTGCATCATATTATCTTAAACATGCCACCTCATTTGGCCATTCCGGTTCATCATATATCTGCAACGTACTCCACACTCCCTTATATGGCGACTCCGGTTCATCATATATCTTAAACACACTCCACACTCCCTCCTATGGCGATTCCGGTTCATCATGTATCTTAAGCATATCCCCTCATTTGGCGATTCCGATTCATCATATATCTGATATAAGCATGCCTCCTCATTTGGCGATTCTTGTTTTATCTTATATTTGAAGCAGGTCCATGGTCGATTCTTCACATATCCTACATCAGCGCTTCCCCCTAATATTAATATTAAAGCCCCCGTAACATAAAAACTCCCGGCCCCCGGGATTTCGCGGTTTCGGGCCCACAATTGAAAGTTAATTAAAATGCAGGGCCTAGCATTGTATTAGTCTTAATAGAGCCAAGGCTACAGCAGTACTCATCAAACCGACAGGACCAGAGGTTTGGGGTTCAGGGGTTTCAGGGTTGAGGGCTCCAGGTTTAGGGCTTAGGGCTTTCGGGCTCAAGGTTTAGGGCTAAGGGCTTTAGGGTTTAAGGCTTAAGGTTTGGGGCTTAGGGTTTTAGGGCTAGGGGTTTAGGGCTTAGGGCTTTGGCCTAGGGCTTTAGGGCTCAAGGTTTAGGGCTTAGGGTGTAGGGCTTAGGGTTCAGGTCCTCAAGGTTTAACTAATCAGGGCTTTAAATAAGTAATAAGGCAACAGGCTTGGGATTAGGCCTCTTCGTTTGGCAATTCCGACTCATCGCATATCCTACACACCCCCCCCATTTGGCGATTCCGTTCATATATCTTAAACACGCCCCCTCGCCGCCTCATTTGCCGACGGGGGTTCATCATATACCTTAAACACGCACCTGAATGTGGCGATTCCGGTTCATCATATATCTTAAAATTCTTAAACACGCCGCCCTCGTTTGGCGATTACGACAGGCGCTCGGCAGGAAAATGTCCCACTCGTCTCGCTGCCCTTGCGAAGACAGTGGCGTCGATCTTGATGTTGGCAGCTTCGGGCGGGGATGCCTCCGACAGTGGCCTTGAGAATTTCTGACTGCGTCTCGTGTTTACGACTTGTGTCCAGCTCGTTTGCTGACCCTGGCCCCGCTGCTTCTGACTCTGTTTGCTGACTCCGGCCCTGCCCCGTTTCGTTTCCACAGTCCGGCTGAGGCCACGTCTTCCGGGTTTGGGGAATTGAATGCAAGGCTCACGCTTACATTCTAGCCTGCTCTTTGCGTCCACCAAGCTCGAAATGAAAAAAGATCTGGCAGCGCAGGGTGTGCTGTCTTTCGCTGTTTGGCATCATGTTTCAACCCAGTTTTCAGTGTTCAGTTTTTGGTTGATTTAGGGTTTGCCACTTTTAGATGTTCGGGGATTTGGAAAGTTTTAGGGGTTCATTCAGGATTTTGAATGTTCACGGTCCGTAGCAAAGCCTTTGGGTTTAGGTAGGGTTTTTAGGGTGCGCACTTTTAGGGTTTAGGGTTTGGAGATTTGTTTTGAGAGTTTTTCTAGGGTTTTGGGCTCGGGGTCATGCGCGCAGCTAGTGTGTGATGCTGTCGCGGCCTCATTGCGCGTGTCAACGGGCGAATCTGCGATTCAATGCGCGAATCAGCTGCAAACGAATGCACCGCGCGCGAAGTAGCCACTCGGTGCGCTTCCAGTGCACGAGCCGGCACTTCCGTTGCGCGAAACGGCTTCTCACCACTAGGCTTCAAGTATGTCGCAAGAAGACGCACACTGCAGTCGGCATGGCATCTACCGTTCGGGACCCAGTCTAGCTGGCGGGTTTTGACAACAGATGCAGAACCTCGACGCTGCCAGGATTGCATATCGCAAGAGGGTCTATCAGGAGGAGTTGCATTTGCTGCAAGCCAGCGACTCTCGGCTGTGGGTCTTGGCATGTTGGATTTTTTGCAAACGTCTGGAGACGATGCTCGCGCTGAGCTTGCGTTGCTCGCGAGGCGGATGACGCTGACGATGTTGGCGTCATGTGCAACTTACTGCTTCTCTCCCCGACTCGGCGCTTGCAGCAGCATCGTGGCTGCCAGTGGGGGTCTCCAATTGAAAAACGAAACGGGGGCATCTTGGCTCAACGATGGTCGCAGGTCTGACTTTGCCGGCTTTGGCTTGGACTCCGAGCCCAAGGCTACTTGCAGCGTTTGTCGGCGGGTTTGTCCTAGTCAAGTGGTTGCACCACGAGTCATGGCCTCTGCCAAGATTCGGCCATTCGCTGCTGCCTTGCCGGGTGAAGATCAGGTGCCCATCTGGGCTTGCTGAGTGGCCACCTTGCCGTTCGAAACACAAGAGACTGCATAAGCCCTCCTTCAGGATCTCAGCACGCTCATGGATGCCTCGATCCAGCAGGAAAGCCTTCAGGAGGAGATGGGCGAGCAGATGGTGACTCGACCGAAGGCTTGGCTGGGCCAGGGCCAAGCTCCGAAAGGCGGAAGCTGCACTCACCCGGCAGTTCATCTTTTGATTCTTCCTCGACCGCTCAGGATTGGTCCGTTCGGTCATTCGGCTGCACGGCTCAGGCTCATCCTAGCCAATCCTGAGTGGGGGTTCTGGTGCATTCTGGTGGCATTCATATCTGCAGCTAAGGACCAGCCACGGCCCGCAGTCGAGCAAGATTTCGAAGATAGTCTCGCACGAAATCCTTGCGATAGAGACCCGGCAAGAAAGACATGCGACATGTAGCAGAGATGTGACGCAGCTGATGGAAGAGACCGTGTCAGGATCCAAAGAACCGAAAAGGGTCCTTTGATGGCATCAGCCACAAGCCACGCGGCTAAAGAGACGGACCCAAGAAGCTAGTGGTAGTACTTCGTCGGTTTTTTTCCCGGCCCAGGGGTGCCATTCCTGTGATTACAAGAGACTACAGCGAGCACAGCGTGGTCATGAACGAGAAGACGAAGGACTGACAACAGCGCCCGCTCCACGTCTGTGGAATGACGAGAGTTCTTGAGGAGGAATTTCTTCTTCGACTTAATCACGAGTTCGCGGCCCAAAGAGCTTCACAGCAAGGCCAGCAGATGCTCTCTCTCGGAGCCTCGGCCAGTGCCTATTGAATATCACCTGCTGTGCCTCTGTTTTGCAGCGAGGGCTGAGCTGAGCCAAGGCGTGGCTGTTCTGATCGGCTGCCTCAGTGGCGCCCTGACCACCTGGCTGGTGCGAAGGTGGAATTAAATGTCCTTCTGCTACTGTCCGCAGCGAGAGACTGCCGTCTGTGGACTAGGCAAGACCTTTTTGGAAGTTGGGTTTGGGGACGGTGGGGCGATGCGACACTTGTCCAGTTTCATTCCATCCGCCCCTCCTGGCACAGGTAACTCTGGTGCCGGCTGCAAGATGGCCGCATCGTGACCTTCGTCCAGCGCAAGAGAAAGAGAAAACCCAATGATTTGTTTTTACACTGTCTTGGGCACTGTTCGGTGAAGACTACTCTTCATGGGGTCTGGGCTTGCAAGCCGAGATGTACGGCTTTCCGAAACCGAACTTAGGCTTGGAGATCAAGTTCTTAACTGCAGAAGTGATAGAGTGTTAAGAGTGTTGGAAGTGGCATGCATTTTACCGTATCATTCCGCTACGATAGTCTGACATTGTCTGCATCTACGACTGGTGCTGACTGCAACCTTACTGAAGCAAACCCGGGAGGGAGTGCCGCAAGCCATGCTTGGGACAGGCTGCACATGCGAACCGGGAGCGAGAGATTCTGGAGGCCCCCCCAGCAGGTGGAAGGCTCCTTGAAGCAACGAAGCTCTCGGCTGATCTGACACTCTGACAGGCAGGCTTTCTGCAACGCCTTGCAGGGGCAGAGCGGCAGCGCGATGCGCTGCAGGCAAAGTGGGTCGCATGTTTTCGTATGCACACCCATCTAGACTCGCGTGTGCGGCTGCACAAAGGGCAAACAGCACGCCCACGAAGTTTGCTGTTCGCTGCCCTCAGTCTCGAACGTGTCATCCCGTGTGCCATTTGAGCCCGGGTAGACTCCTCACAGATGACCTAAGAATTCGCAGCTGTGTTCTGGATCAAAAATAAAAGTCCCCACATGCAACATGCAAGAAGCACTACTTTGGTTTTGCTTGCATGCAGTTTGACTTTGTGCTAGTCCCTTTGCTGATTTTGTCGACCCGGCTTAGCTCCAAGACCCCTCACCTGGTCACCTATTGGCACGGGATCGAAGTGATTCCAAAGATGCTAAATGTATACTCTGTCTGTGCTCTCCCTGTCTCAGTATTCACTCTCGCCGATCGATGTAATGCTAAATTGCCACCCGCATGCCCGTGTGTGCACACCTGCAGACGTGCCTATCCACTCCCTGCGATTCACGCGCAAAGCCCGTGACATGCCCGTATCTTTGCACTGCTCTCGCGCAAAAGCATGTCAATCTGCAGTGGTACTCGATCGCCGAAGGCTCAAATAAACTACTCGGTCTATGACGTGTCGAGGGACAAGGACTTGCTGGAGGCGGGTGATGGCTGGTGTTTCGGTACAGCATTGGGAGGTGAGTCTCCATCTTGATCCGCTCTTGAAGGGAAGCTTCGGAGATGTTGCATCGGGTGACAATAAGTCAACCATCCAGCTGTTAATCGCGGTGCGGATCAAGACAGAAGGCCCTGTACCATCCGGCACCCCATGAAGCAAATTGCAAACTCGTAGCGAAAGGCAAGGCTTCGCGGAGAGTTGGACGACGCGAAGCACCAGCGCGAAGTTCAGGAGGCAGTGCTTGTGCGGACTGATCCTCTGCATCAAGTCGAACGGTTCAGACATACAGAAGCAGAAGGTGGGGTGTGAGGTAAGAGAAAATTGGGCCAAATGTGTAGGAGCTTCAGGACAATCAGCGGTTGGTTTCCTTGGGAGGATATTGGGGCTTGAGGGAAGATCCGGATTCAAATTCACACGCACCTATTTCGTATGATCCGCACTTAGAGACAGGGACTCCTGTTGGATGACAGGCACCGTGCCAGATGATGTACAGTACTTTCTCCAAGACTGCGTACCACTAGCTAGTTTCTTAGCCCGCATCAGTGCGACTGAGACCTGCATCCGCTGCCAGGCGAAGATGTTTGCAGTGATGCAAGATGCAGATCGCCAGCGAGAGATAGATCAGGCATGGAGCGTCGCAGTCCAAACTGGAAGATGTGGGAAGACAGCGAGGCGAAGCTTTCTGCTCTCCTACATGATGAAAGGCGGCAGCATGACGTCCGCCAGGCCAGGACAGTGTACAGTGTAGTGTGTGCAGACCGTCCCGACATGCTGTATGCTTGACTCGCTTGCCCTCGCACAGTCGCCATTTCAGGCTCGACTGACAGAGACTTTCCGAAGGCACAAGCTCAGCTTGTTTTATGCTTTATATCTTCAGCATTCTTGTCATACTGTAGCGTATCTACATAAAGTGATTGCCCCTGCACTTGTGTCACTAGTTCTACTCCTTGTGACGTTGCCCTCAGTTTGCTGGCTCACGTTGGCCAGGCAAGAGCTCAAAGCACATCAGCACCAGGAAGAGTCAGTCTCCCAGCACGGCGCACTCTGTATAAGCTTCAAGTCGAGCATGATTTGACAGCAACGTTGTCGTTGCTCGCAAGGCTGGGTGACCAGCTTCGACACCAGAGAAGTGAACTTGCAGAGGAGCCATCCGATATATTGTTCTTGCTATCCTTCTATTAGGTAGGAAAAGAAGAAGCCTGTATTGAAGACATCTGGGGATGCATTGGAGCTTGTTCTGAGGCTGCCTTGTGCTTTGAGGAGGTAGTTTAGAGCAGTTTGTAGGCAGGTGCTTTGTTGTTCAATATCATGTTGGAAATACCGGAATTGCCCGCAAGGAGCGCCGGCGAGCAGGCGTGCTACAAAGCCAACTGGAGTCAGCCCAGGCCACATTTTGGAGGGAGCACGGCATGGACTGTCTCTGTCTCTGTCTCTGTCTCTGTCTCTGTCTGTCTCTCTCTCTCTCTCTCTGTCTGTCTCTCTCTCTGTCTCTCTAATAAGTTGGTTTGGGCATTAGCATGTTTTGGGCCGGTTCCGGATGTTCCTTCCAGGCCGAGCTGGTGAAGGCGCACGGCTGTGCTTTCGACCTCAAGGCCTGGAACAGGGGGGATACACATATATATATATATATATATATAGGTGTGGTGTTGCCCACCCCTCCCTCCCCCCCTTTGTGCTTCCCTGGCTGTGGTGGTGGGTTTTAGGTTTAGGGTTTGCAGCCGCACCCCCCTGTGGTGCGGTGGTGGGTATTTAACCCCCCCTCTCTTTTCTGGGGTGTGGGGTGGTGCTGGGTTGTGGGTTTCAGGTTTGGCGCTTAAGTGTTGGGTTTAGGGTTTAGGGTTTGCACCCGCGCCCCCTTGGGCGGTGGGGTTGTTTAGGGTTTAGGTGTATAGATACGAAAGGGTTTAGGGTTGAGGGTCAGCAGATGGGCGCGGCCCAGACCGAAACCATGGCCCATCCAGGTGAGTGTCTCCACTTTGGGCGCGTCACGAAGTTGCATAGCTTCAAAAGCCACAACACTCATGAAGATCGCGGGTTCCGGGCGCCCATCCCTGTGACTGGTGGCACTTTTGAGACAAAAGTCACGACCCTCACGAGGATTTCGGGTGTATACCATGGGGAGACCATACCAACTGGGGGTGGGTGGGAGGGGGTTACTACCAAGCAACACGGCACCATGTATATATACATATATGTATGTATGTATGTATGTATGTATGTATGTATGTATATTATTACTAACACACACACACACACACACACACACACACACACACACACACACACACACACACACACACACACACACACACACACACACACACACACACACACACACACACACACACACACACACACACACACACACACACACACACACACACACACACACACACACACACACACACACACACACACACACACACACACACACACACACACACACACACACACACACACACACACACACACACACACACACACACACACACCACACCACACACACACACACACACACACCACACACACCACACACACACACACACACACACACACACACACACACACACACACACACACACACACACACGGTCACGTGCTCCGCGGCCCCCCCCCTCCCCCCCCCAAAGGTCAATGGTCCGGATATAGGGTGGGACCCCCCTCCCCTGTGGTGTGGGGTGTGGGGGTCCCTCTTCTCTCCCCCTGTGGGGTGGTTGTGGGGTTTTGGGATTTAGGGTTTAGCTTAAGCTTCTGAGTGTTGGGTTTACGGTTACAAGGTGTAGCGCTTCGAGTCGACAAGGGCTTAGGGAGGATTTGCGGTGTATGTTCTGCTTTAGGCTTAGAGCCTACAGTTAGGTGGGGTTTAGGGTTGGGTGTAGGGTTTGAAGTACAAGTTAAGGGTACTCAAAAAAGGAGCACGCGCTGCGTTATAGGGCTTACGGCTTGCTTGCGAAGGGCTTGCGTGCGAGCCCTGGCCGCCAGCACCATCCCAGCATCCAGTGGCAGTTCCAACAGCCCCGACCCCTTTCTGCGCACGCCAGCCCCCCCCCCCCACCCCTAGCAGACCATACCATTGGGGGGGGGGGGGGGGCTGGGAACGCCAGACGCCTGACCAGATATATATATATATATATATATATATATATTTCTGTATGTATGTATGTATGTATGTATGTATGTATACTCTCTATGCTTTATACAATTGCTTCATTATGAAGACTGCTAGTGAGCCTGTCCTTACGGGGTGCCAACACGGCATGCTTCCTAGAGAAGCCGGCAGAGCCGCCTTTGCAGCGCGAGTCCTCTCTCGCGGCGACGGAAGAAGAAGTATATGTATATGTATATACATAGATTATATATATATATATATATATCTATATCTATATATTGCCAGATCCTGGGCTGAAAGCCTCTTCGGGAGTCTCTGAGCCCTTGCTCCAGGCGGCCCTGGAGAACCTGAAGACCTTGAAGGCCGCGGCTAAGCCTGGCATTACCAGTTTTGGGTTCCTGTCCACATTGCTATTTTCAACAGGTGTGACCGCTCAGGAGCTTAGCAAGGGACGCGACGAAAGATTTCTGCGATGCACAGGAGCTGCGCGATGCTGAGGAAAAGCGACGCAAGGAGACGGAGGCGCCAGACCTGCACTGATCGACCGATTTCGAGCGGCAGGGTGCCAGCAGGGCGCGACGGACTGGGAGGTCCAGTATGTAGCACGTCTACTTGTAGATATGAGTGTTGCAGGCAGCTCGAAGTGTTTGGTTGTGTTCCTGACCACAGGAGAGTCGCCAGGCCCTCCTACACCATGTGAAAGAGGCAGCGTGCATGCTTCGCAGACAGAGAAGGGGGCAATCTGCAGTTTCGAGTCTCGTGAATGCCGTACCTGCAGCACTTCGCGTGGCGCTTTTCGATGGTTTTGGGCTCCAAGCGGTTTCTAGGCGGTAACTAGGCTCTACCCCTGCCTTGCCTCACAATGGAGACGAACGAGCGGACTCCATTGAGTGGAGAGGGCGAGGTTGCTTGGCTGCACAGAGTGGACCCTAGAAACACGCTGGCATAACTGTCAAGCAATTGTCCGGCCTGGCTTGTAGCTTGGATAGTGTGTGCTGGTAGCGTGAATTCTGCATGCCTCAGGAACTGGCAGGTATCCATGACACTGTCGTGCGGCATGGCTTCGTGCGCAAAGTCTATGGCATTCTCTCGATGCAGCTGATTGTGACCCCTGCCCGTTTAGCATTGCATTGGCCTGGGTTGATAGTGCGGCAGGCCGCTGCACTGGTCATAACCAGTGCAAGTAGATTCACTTAAACGCCTGAGAGACTGCAGGCGTTACTGTTACATGCAAGTCTTGTCAGCCGAGGACAACGGCAATTGCTGCTGGGAGACTTTTCGCAACTTACAGGTTGCCGATGCAAAGCACAGCATTCGATGGAGCTCACTAATTTAGTCGGCTTAGTTGCACGGAGCAGGAGCATTGATAGCTTTTGCTGGCTGAGGACTATGAGGTATGCCCTCCAACTGCGTCAGACCAACCCCGCTGTCATTCCGAGCCTTGACTGGGAACAAGGCTGGGCACATCTTGGTATGACGGCCACCAGGGACACCAGCTTGAACTCGAAAGATTCCTCGAGTGACTTGCTGTGAAGTAAGCAAGGATTGTGATGACGTTCTCCATTGCAGTTGCGATTTCAACGATGCTAGTCTTCATATGCTGCCGCGCTCCCAGAGCAGACTTTGCAGAACAGTCAAGAAGCTGCGAAAAGCAGATGGTTGGAGTCGTGTGTCAGAAGTACCGGTCAACCTTATCGCGAGCTTCATAAGTACCGTGTCATCAAGCCAGTGAGGTCCACAGACGATGCGCAAGAGCCCTACCAACTATGTCCTGCTGTCTCTCTTCACGGTGGCAGCAGCTTGGTTCTAGAGAATGTCGGATGGGTTGTCCTCACAAGTGGCGGTGGTATAGCGATGAGCAGCGGGCCATACAAGGCTGTGACTTCACTGTGGTCACCGAGGAGTCATTCATGGTGGGCTTCATTTGTGTTCAATATACGGCCGCGGCCCTAGAAGAGTTCAGGAAATGTCGAGTGTGTATATAATATTGATGATTAGTAAAGTATACGTAGTATGTATGTACCGAAGGGCACCGCACAGGAGCCATGCAAGTGTTTGATATGTAGAGATGTCTCACAAAATTCAGCAAAGACAACAGTAACTTTGAGGCTCAGTCAGTCCTGGTGACGTTTGCAGCCGGGATGCAAGGAGAAGTGCTGGGTTTATGGCTTTCGTCTTGAAGCATGCAGATGACAAGGCAACCAGTAGCAATCTGTCATACACAGTCCATCATGTCGCAAGGCAGTCACGTCCGTGGTGGTGGCGCCTTCGCCGCAGTAACAATGGAGCCGATATGCACTGGGTCTTGAGATGCTCCGCCGACATTGACCAGCCTCTACACTGTCTCCAGCGTAAGTATTGCCGCACTTCCCGAGGCTTCTAGGGCTGTCGGAGTAGCTCTGTTACCCTTGTTGGCTGAACTGGCGTAGATCCGACTTGGGCAGTTTCAACTTTGGGCACTTCTTGCTTGACTCCGCTCGGGAGTACCCTGCTAAGCAACATCTTTCGTTTCAGCAGATACAGCCCGAAAGCGGAGGCACTCTTGTTATTTGCCATGGATCTCACATGAGCCGTGCAGCCCTTCCGGGTGTCAAAGTCTTCTTTCCTTGAACAGTGCGTCCAGGTGGCTTTGTCCATCTTCGCGTGCCAGACCAAATATGACATCACAGGCTTGCCCTGGGCTTGTCTGTTTGCGATTCGTAGAAGTGGTCTCCTGCATGTGTGCTGTCACGATGAAACCGGTGAAGAGGTTTGCGATTGCTGGTTCAACATACTGCAAAGAAGGCATCTCGCGAACACAGGGAAGGTTCGAGCCCGAATTCTCTAGTTCTTTGCAACTTCCGGATCCCGGAGCAGGAAGCATAACCAGGAAGATGGATCGGACTTAGGGATGTTTAACGGACGGAAGTGAAGCAGAAATAGGCAGGAATCAAGGTTGACGCACGGTTCCAGAACAGGCCACGAGTCTAGCAGCTTCGAGTTTTCAGGATCTAGGATTTGGAGGGTTAATAGTGTTCGTTTTACGCTATGAGGTTTCCAGGCTTGCACAATGAGTGTAGTAATGTAGGGATTTCAGGGTCTACGGGTTGGAGGATTCGGGGCTTTTTGGTTGCGTTATGAGATTTTGAGGCTTCCGGTTTCTGGGATTTCTGGAGGGGAGAGAAGAGCAGTGCAAGCGGAAACGTAGAAGCATGCCCGGATGGTGTAGCAAGATTGCGTAGGGCGGGTGGGACCGAGGCAGCTGCCTGCCATCTTGTCTCCAGTTGAGTAGTGGGCACCAGGAAGTGCTGCGTGTCCAGGGGGTTCATGGTCACAGCCCCAAATGGTGCAACGTGCCTGGGACGATGGGGTGGGTCACTGCCAGTTACCAGTAATCGCACACCATCCTTGACTCACTCATTGGCATGAGTTGAGCGACGTTTTTTCAAACCCGTCGCTTTACGGAAGAAAAGAGCTAAACACAACAAAACTTTCATTCGATCTAGAAGTCTCTCCGGGACTATATACGTGCTCTGAAGGATGTGGAAGGGCCGTGCTCCGCGATCAAGCAACGAGTGCTCTGAAGCCGTGCTCCGCGATCAAGCAACGAACACACAAGCCACTGCAATACGCAGGAACGAATGTTGATGCTCTTGCAGCTCTTGTTCGCTTGCAAAACAGACTGCGACAACATGCATTGATGCACTAACATTCCATCTCGTTGAGGCGCCGAAGGCTGCGAAAGCTTTGAAGCTAGGGTTGCGCGGAAAGGGCTTGACATTCTGGGTCTTATAGTATACAGGTTGAAGCAAACGGCAAAACACAGCTCGGTCCTGTTTGTTGCATACGCTCAGGAAATAGCATAGGCTCAGCGCGAACAGCGTGAGCTGGGAAGGGAACGTTTTGACGAGATGTTCTTGGGTCGCTCAAAGCACTTCTCTTTCGCTTCTCCTCGACCTGTTGGTCCTGTTTGGTTTGAGCGATGACGGAAGCTTTCCTTGAGGCTTCATGCCATATTTCCTCATGGCAACTTTGGTGCTCTTTGGTCGCTCGATCGCAAAGGGCAGGTTGTTCAGGCCCAGATGCCTAGATTCTTACTCTGTCAAAAGCCAGTCTGGCGCTGTCCAAGGTTTGGGTTTCGCTTTGAGCATCGCTGCGATATGCGGCGCGAGCCAGACTGGAGCCTTCCAGCCGTGGGCTCGGAGAATTCGCAAGGAGTGCGAGAATCAAGGCAGACGAAGCCAGACCGTACACTAGCACTGCACTGGCCGTAAGAATGCAAGAATCGGCAGAAATGAGAGTGTAAGGACAGCATGCTTCCGCAGCTTGTTTCAGCCCTTGAGTTATTCGGGATCTTCGTTTGTCAGGACCATGAACTTGGTGTACGCGGCTGGTGGCGCTTTGCTTTTCTCAGGCAAGCGGCTTTCGATTTGTCAAGCTGCTTTCTTCACAGCATTCAGAGCACCAATGTAAGTCAGGTAGACCAGACGGAGCCGGTTCGACTGTACGGTGCCAAACGCTGTTCCATGCTCGATCTCAGCATTGCTGCAGCGGAGGCTACATCATCATGGACACGCAGTTGATCGTCGGTGGAAAGCATCAGAGGTTTCGTTTCTGCATCGATGACTACTGCATGGCAACTTGCCCCAAATCAGTAGTAGGTATCGAAAGCTTTGCTGTAGGCGACCCCATTTCCGAAGTCTCCAACATCATGCAGTTGCAGTGGGAAAAACTTGCGTCCTGCTCGAGGCAGCCATCACCATATATCTCGACATCGTTCAGCTGTTTCTGTTCTTGCTGCGGCTCCTCGGAGAGCGTAGACGCTGAGAGTGTGATGCTTACGAAATGGTCAGTGAACGAAGCGTTGGCCATCGCCACTGGTGTGACAAAGTGCTTCAGCTGCTTCGATACCAGCGATGTCATAATCTTGGGTAGTTAGAGTGTCCACTGAGTATCGCGATCAAGTCCTCCTACCGTCGCAGCTACAAGTGTGATTCTACCAGGGCTCTACTCAAAGCTTTTTCCCTTATTGTGCTTTCTGCCACCCTTATCCGCAAGCACATTTCATCACCTTCTCTGTGTGCGAGCGGTGCAGGAATCCCATGCATGTGAATCGCTGTCTGATGGAGTCTTTATCGGCTCAACTGTCATTGGCTGCTGACCTGAGCGGGAAGCCATGAGCAACAGGCTTCTGGACTTTCTGTACCATGTCATGCCGCTACGCCGCTAAGCCTCGTACGTTCCTAGTTGGAGACTTTTGGTCAGGTATACTCCCGGGCAGAACGTTGTCGTTCAGGGCGTCCCTGTCAACGACGAGGGCGTCCCTGTCAACGACGTCGATTCAGACGAGAACTATTGTCCTGGCGTTTTCCGGCAATCACACAGCATTTTTTTTCCGGAGGTCTGCTGGTATAATTTGCATAATGCATCGTGATGCACGGAGCTTGGAGCCTTCTAGAGCCCGAGGAGCTCATCGGGTTGCAGAGCACCGCGGTGAAGAATGGCTTCGTCCGGAAGGCCCCGGCCGCGCGCATGCGCGTCCGCATAGCCGTCCGCCTGCGTCCTGTTTCGGCCTTGGAATGCCATGGTCAGCTTCCTTTGGAGGTCTACAGCATTCTCACGGTCCAGCTCATCGTCACGACGCTCATCGCTGCACCGATGCTTGGCCAAGAACAGAGCCAAGGAAGGCCGAAGGCAAATATACCTCTGCGGGATGGAGACGGTTGGTTTGCGGAGCCCTTCAGCTTGCCTTGTCTGGATGCAGTTTGGGCGCCCAGGATCGCCAACTATGGTCTGGAAATGAAGGTGAAAAGCCCCGAGATCGTTTCGACCTGAACTCAGATTTTCTTTGAATGTTGGCGTGCGTGTGTGTGTGTGTGTGTGTGTGTGTGTGTGTGTTCGCGCGTGTATGTGTGCGCGCGTGTGTGCGGGTGTGACTGTGCTTCTCGCCACAACCGCGACCGTTTGAGTATGCAAAGGGTTCTTATGATGCAGAAGCGATACAAGGACCATGATGTTCCTGTCTTTGGCGGCGGTCGTTGCCATCATGTGCGTTTTCACTTGCTGTGCCGAGCTTAGTTTGCAAGGAACTCTGGGACTCTTGGGGCGTGTCCACGGTTGCAGAAATCAAGGTTGACCTCTGTTGCCTTAGCTTTCGACCTGTTTCTCTTTCTCCTGCTCCAATCTGGACTCAACTGTTTTCTTGACATGCCTCTCACTCCTACTCGAAGCTTCGTCCCATCGCCTCGATGTCCGAAGCGTGTCCGAAGCATCTGCGCCTTGGTTCTCATGCACCCTCAGGTCCACACACCATGCGAGAGTATCCTACGAACTACTTCTTGCTTGCAATGTTTACCGTGGCCGAAAACCTGGCCGCAATTGATCCAGGACCCTAAGACAGGGTAGTGCATGTGAATCGGCATGCCGAGACAAAGCCCAGGAAGCTGTCATGGTTGGCTTCGTGTGTGCGAACTATACAGCCGGGCTCCCGGTATGCAGTAGGCCAAGGCTTCAAGAAGGAACGTCTGCCCTTGGTGCAATGAGTGCTCAGGCGCAGTCCGTGATCATGTGCCTGGCAATCACAGCCGTGTGTGTTGGCGGATTGACGCTCTTTGCTTGCCAGACAAAGTACGACTTCACAGGACCGGTGCCTAGAAATAAACTGGCCGGGGATGAAGCTTCACAACTGATACAAAGGTGTAGATTCCTCTGCTTTGCCATTCGTGGACTGGCAAAATGGCTGCAAATCTACAGCGTTACCCTTTCCCACCCCTGTCCCCACCATGCGCCTAGCTGCACTCATGCATTATCGCATAATACGTATGTGGCTAGATACTTGCAAGTCCAGAATAGAAGATAAAGAGTAACCGGACACTCCAAGTTCATGTTACCTGCACACACATCCCTAGTATCAGTAATTTAGTCTCTGGGCCGGCAGTGTATTTGGACCAGTTGGATCATCCGGCCGGACCCTCACTCTTACTCTTGCAGTTCTCTCGAGTCGCAAAGCAATCCGGATGCATGTCGCGAGGACTTCTTCCCTACTTCCTCACTGCTACAATGGTTCTCTGCGGTTGTTTGGCAAGATGTAAGACCCGCACCCGGAGAATTGACGATGCCAGATCTAGTTTCGAAGAACTGTGGGAGTACCGCGATGTTGTGGCGCCTTTTGCCTCCGGGTTGCCATGTTGCCCTAAGCCACATGCTGCAGTACGCTGCCAGCTCGACGCTGGTGTTGGAGTACTTCAGGTTTCAGCTTCATGCTCATGATGGCGGCAATGTTTGGCGGGGCTGGAAGTGGATTCTTCAGGACCCACCGAGTATGTATTTAGAGTCGCTTTCTTAAGGTGCAACCTTCGGCATTCTTTCACCGACTAATTCCGCTCATGCTCAGCACGGCACTGTATCATTAGGCATGGGTCAGTCGTGGAAGCAGGGCTGAGCTTCTCTTTAGCGCAGGGCAGCCAATCTGGTCTATGCCGCCTTCGGCGCTCTGCTGTTCTGTGGATGCTTGGCCATGACCACCTTTTGCCCCGGTAATCGATCTAGCAAGAAACGGATTTAGGGTTTAGGTTTTGCGTTTTTCTTTTTGGGTTTAGGGTTTTGGGTTTGCGTGTTGCTTTTAGGGTTTAGGGTTTAGGTTTTGCGTTTTACTTTTTAGGTTTAGGGTTTTGGGTTTAGGGTTTAGGGGTTTAGGGTTTAGTTTCGCGTTTTCCTTTTTGGGTTTAAAGATTTGGGTTTAGGGTTTAGGGTTTAGGGTTTTAGGGTTTAAGGTTTGCGTTTTGCTTTTAGGGTTTAAGATTTAAGGTTTGGGATTTGCGTTTTATTTTTTGGGTTAAGGGCTTAGGAAGCAGAGTTTGAGGGGTCATAAGCAACTTCTGGCACGGATTCAAAGCCTGATCAGACTGTTCAGCTTATCTAAAATTTTGAATCAGGCCAAACGCCACTACCACGGTTTTTTCTTTCAATGTCTTTCGAAGGCAGTTTACATCATGATCTGCATGCTCTCTGAAGGGACGGGTAGCTTGTGCGCATGTCGGTGGTTTATGGTGGTTTATGTGGGACATACGGCGATTGTCAGGCTTGAGCGACGCTCGAGCGGGGAGCAACTCATCCACAGCTCTAAGGATACATCGTGCTGGACACCCAGATGATCATTGGTGGAAAGCATAGTACATATTCGTTCACTGTGGATGACTACTGCATGGCACCTCGACAGGAAATTGCATTGCCTTTGGAAGAACAGGCTGAGTAGGTGGGCATCCAGCACATGCTGTGCCCAAGGCCGCCATCACACTCTACTTGGACATCATCCAGCTCTTCCTGTACTTACTCCAGCTTTTCGGAGATCGGAACGACTGAGCAGCCTGCAGCATGCCCAGCTCACAGTTTGTGGCGTGCAGCTCCGTATTTCACTCCCACGACCTTCGTCTGCCCTTTGAGGGTAGCGGTAGCTCTAGTGAACTTACGAGCAGCTGTCTGTGTGTGTGTCTATATATATATGTACAGACATATATATATATATATATATATATATATTCTAAACGGCTTTCAAAGTCATTGATGCAAGAAGGTGTGGGATCTCGTTCGTTGCGGCAGCTGGTGGACAGATGCAAACAGACAGAACTAAACTTCATACATCGCCTTCAGTGTTGGAAATAGGGCGAGTACCTGAAGACCATCCAGAAGAACCAGTGTTAGCACTTGCTTCTGCCGCTTAAAACTCCAGAATCGGCAATTGAAGTGGCCGGGTCTTCTGCTCCAAATCGATAGATTGGGTGAAGTGTTTCCGGAATTAAGTGTTTCCGGAATTGCCGACTCGCCACGACGCAGCATGTACACAGAAGCTGCAGCAGCCAGCTGAAGAGATCTGAGACTCTTGTCTGCGTAGAGACAACTGTGCTGGCTGCTAGCCGGCATACCAGACAGCCCATATTTACAAATGAAACGAACCGTTTCCTTGTGGCAGCAGCTAGCGGCCAGGTGGAATCTCAACGTGCGCAGCTGCAGGCGGTCACTCTGTGTCCATAGTCGCACAAGCACGCATCGGCTGGATAGATCCCCCTCGCACATGTAGGCTTCTGTCTGAGGGGCAAGCGCGTTAGTTGAGGGGCTTGGGTTGCAGCTGCCGACGTCGTGAGTGAACAGGAATCGAGGAAGGTACATGTTGCGGCCACCCTCCACCAACAAATCAATTTGACAGTGTCAACCCTGCCGTGTTTCGTCTGAATTCACCTACACTTCCTGACCGTCGGCTTTGACGACAACCATCAGCCTTCTGAGTGGAAGCCCGCGTTGTCCCGCTTTGGGTCTCATTCATGTGGTGCCTTAACACCGTTGTAAAATGATGTGGCTTTAATCTTGTGATGCTTTGATGGTCTGCAGGCTCAGTTGGACGAGATCCAAGCCGGTTATGTCAGCCTCAAGGCAGTTCATGTACCAGCACTTTCTTCGGGACGTTGCAAAGCTTCATTCGTCGAGGCTGTGGCAGAGGCGGAGCGTTCAAAGACCTGCGTGGCGGAGCAGACGCTGAAGGCCGGGTGTACTGTGCTTTGGTGATTTTTGGTGATCCTCGCTGCTCTTGACTCGGACTCGGCTGTTCAGAGGTTTGCACTGAAAGTGTTGAAACCGCAGCGCTGGATGGAGGAGCGTGATGCCCGCGTCGCACAGCTTCTTGAGGACAGAAGCGCCGGTCTGATGGGAGCTCTACAGATGCTCTGATGCTCTTGCTTGAGCTGATGGCAGGAGATTCAGAAGTATCGTTCCCAGCAGAACCTGATGAAGGATGAGGCAGCAACCCAGAATGAACTTGTCAGTCTTCGTATTCGCAACGACCGACGGCCGAAGCCATCGGAGCAGAGGAGGCAGTTTGCCCAGCGCCAGGCCATCGAGCTCGCTGAGCACCGCGCTTGGCTGGGTGAGGCCGAGCCGCCGCGTGTGCACGCTTGTGCATGTGCGCTTCTGAAGGAGATCCTTCATGCTGCAAAGTAAACGGTAGGAATTCCATTGCAAGGATCAGCGGTGGCTGCTGACGCTGGAATCTCGTTTGAAAGAGGACTGCCGGGAGGCTTTTGGCGCACAGAGACATAGGCTTAGGTGAGTGTTTTTTTTTTTGCACGGCGAGCCCTGAGCAGCCAGTGTCCGCGGCTGCAGCGGGAATGTTGGCTGGTAGAATGGTGGAATCTATGAGTTACTGTATCTGGAGCTTCGGTGAGCCCCTGAGAAGATCTGTCAGATGCTGGCAGAGCAGCCCCTGCAGCCCAGCAAGCGAAACCCAGCCTGGAGCTGCTGGTTCCCATTCCACGAGGAGCAGAAGCGCGCGAGTCAGCTTGAGGACCAGCTCTTGGAGGAGAAGAAGAGGCGCAGCACGTAACATGTTCAAACCCAACCTGTTGTATTGACATGGGTGGGAAGCGCTTCGGGTGTGTCAGAAATCCGATGCTCATGATCTCGGCTTAGGTGCGCACGGCGACTGGAGGACATGTCACAAGAACTCCTGGAGGAGAAGGCCTGAAGCGAAGCCGTGATGCCGTAGCACGCTGCAGGTGATCGAGCTGAGTATGGAGTGCACACGGCTGTCTAAACTGGAGCACCTGCAGCATCACACGCAGATATCAGAATCATCTGTGGAGGCCAAGTGCCTGGAGCTACGGAAGCCACGTCCTGCGGACCGGGATCGCCAGGCGAAGGAGCTCCAGATATTTCGTGCAGGTGTGCTGTTCAGCCGGTTGAGGTTCCTGATCGCAGAGTTTGAGGCTTTACAGCGGTACTCGCAAGCGTCGCTGTCGCTGCTCGCCAGAATCAAATCAGAACTGCTCGGGGAAGACTTGTTCACAAAAGGTGCAGTCAAAAACAGGGAACATGCACAGTAGCATTTTGCAACGTCTGCGGCATGTGAGCTCCGACCATGCTCGCTGGGGGGCTGCCGCAGTCACCTCCCATCTGGTCGGAGCTTGCAGGCACCGGCGGCACCGCCTCTGTTGTGGTACAGTCAAGTGGGCTTCAGCTTGCGTCTCCGAAGGGCAGTCACGGGTGCACGGCCGAATCCGGCCGTCTGCCGGAGTCCTATGGCAAGAAGCGCCAACATGTGCGATGAGTGTCGCAAGACTTCAGTCCGATCTACTGAGGTCCTCAGACGTGGCCGAAGCCAACTTGCTCTGGTTGCTGCTACGGTCGTGTCCGTGCCTGGGCTTGACGGCCGTAGCTGTTGTCGGATGGTCTGTTATGGAGGTCCCGTACGGAGCAAAAAGCGTTTGCTTCCCGCTTTTTCCGGTCTTCGCTTGAGGTGCAAAGGCAGCGGAGATGGCAGAAGGCAGGAAGCTGACACATGGAAAGCGACGAGAGGAGTGCAAAGAAGAGACACTGGGACTGGGACTGGGCCTGCAGGGCCTTCGCTGCAGCGAGGGGGCAGATGCCAGCACCCCGCGACTGGAATTCCTTGATGATGACTTCCGGCTGCACATGGCTGCACCAAGCGGCAAAGCACTCTTGGCGTTAGAAGAGTTGGCCAGTGCTCTGCACGAGGATCCGAGCTGCTACACCATCGGTATCCTGGGTGACCTCCACTTAGACCCTCGTGACCTGGAGGATTCCATGACCGGACGACAGCAGCCTGTCTGCATTTAGCTGCAAGGTTCTGCAATCAAGTGTCGGGCCAGAGCTGGCCTGTCGCCAAGGCACATGAAGGATGCCTTGGAGGGACAGCCGAATGCTTTTGCTGTTTCTCTGGGTGACCTTGGCGAGTCCAAGGATTGCAATGCGGCTTGGCGTTTACAAGCCATATCCACTCTCAGAACATCTCAGAACAATCACCCCGCAGTGCTCATACCCTCTCTGCAAACATCAGGACACTCAGCAGCTTTTTTCTGGAACATCGCCATGTTTCAAGCTCGCGCGCGAGTTCTTGGATGGACTTGTGCTTAGAACGAAGAGAGCCCCCGCCCCCCCGCCCCCCCCGCCCCCCCCGCCCCCCCCGCCCCCCCCGCCCCCCCCCCCCCGCCCCCCCCCGCCCCCCCCGCCCCCCCCGCCCCCCCCCCCCCCCCCCCCCCCCCCCCCCCGGCTCCCCGGCCTGGCATCCTCCTGGTCCCAGGCCTGGGCACGAGGTATGATGTCGTGGGTGGCAACCATGACTTGGAGGCAGCCCGCGCGTCTTACAAATCCAGTCAGCACCCTATGCGCCTCTGGCGACTGAGCTTGGTAATCCAGCAGCTTGCAGGGCATCGACGAGTTCGGCACGGACGATGAAAACCTGAAAGCCTTCCTCGACATTCTGGGCAAGGAGCGCGTGGCTGCAGCTGTCTTTTTGCATCGAAACATGGTCCCGAAGACAGCATTTGGAACGTGGGCAGCGACAGGAAAACCCCTACTTCTGCCTACGTCACAGTGAGGGAAATTGTGAAAAGCACAGTCTCAAAGCGACCGGTGGTGATTCTTCGTCGGTGCTCAGGCCACGAGATCGCAGAGCGGACGCTGCTCGTCGGACTCGGCTCCACTTCTTTCCGCTCCGCTCGCTTCTCGGCCGGAAACAAGGAGGCGCCAAATGGGAAAGCGCTGCGAGGGTTTGGCTGCGCACCCAACATCAGGGAAACACATCTATAAACCGAGAAGGGGGGGCCCCTGCCCTTTCGAGGCTGCATCTCCGGCGAACAAACGTGTAACGAGAGGGGCGGCCTGCTCTTTCGAGGGTTTGACTATCAATGCATAACGAGTGGCGGGTGGTTTAGCTGCGTGGGAATAAATCTATTAAGCTGCATCCCAGGGCATAGTCAGGGCATACATGTAGAAATGGGCGGCAGGGCCTGCTTTTTCAAAGGTTATGAGCTGCATCCCCAGCAATACACGTATATTTCACCAAGATGTGACTGCAGGCTCGCTGCAATGTTGGCGGCTAGTCGAAGAGTGTAGTGGCTCAACTGATGCGCACCCAGGCTTCTCCTCGCATGAGGCTTGGGACAAGATTGAGCTGCACCTGCCACATTTTGAAGGGCATGCAAGGGGAGACAGAGTGTCAGCTGGCCATCCTGTGGAGGTGTCAGTGGATTCGGAGCAGCTGGAGTGGTTCGCTGGAGCCTCGTGGCATTGCAGCGCAATGACACAATGAACTTGCAGCAAGAATGGCAGCGCATCAGCTGAAGCTGCATCAACAAGCCACCTGATTGGGTAGATTTCGGCTTGGGGCAACTGGCAGGCGCATGTTGCGAATGCACCGAGGAAGACACGATCCGCGCCCATCCAGCATCTGAGGGCTGGCAGGCACGGATCGCTGATAACTCCACGTGCTTCGGCAGTCGTGACGTGTGCCAAGCGCTAGCGGGTGATCTTGCACCTCGGCAGGTCTTCGTGTTCTCTCATGCCCCGATTATCGGCTCTGCCCTGCGAGTGCTCCAGGAGCCGCTTGCGATTGAGTCATTACATAACGTCCAGAACACTTCAGCCGAGCCTCATGGAGGAGATTCACGTGCTTAATGGCTGCTGCTGGTTGAACCATACCGATGGAGTCAGTATGCGACTTAATGCGGCACCAGCGCAAGGGACAGTGAACATGGCTCAGTCCGATAGTCTGGAACGCGATGAGGGGTGTCGATCCGTCTTCACACCTCATGTCATGAGGCTCGAAGAAATTTATCCAGATTGTGCGCGAGAACGCCTGCATCAAGGGTTTGGGTGCCCAGCGCAGTGCATCTTCCGATGCTTGCAGCTCGGATCCATGCCCTGGCCAGGTTGGTTTTCTGGGCACTTCCACCTGTCTCATGATTACGAAGACTCCATCACATTTCCAGGTGAGGCCTTTTCGGCACGATTGGAGCCCTGCTCGTCCAAGCCGCCACTGCAGGCGGCAACCGGCGCGGCCACTGCGTCTTTGCACAGACAGGAGTGATGCGAAGCCACTCCTCGAGGGATGGGAGGCCAGGAGAGTCCAATTGCCTTGCTGCTTGGGTTCAGAGATGTTCAGATATGCCAGGCAGCAGTCGCGGTTGGTGAAGGGCAATGCCCAGGCGCTTGCCAGGGTTATTGGAGGTTGCCGAGGGTGCACGGCAGGACCAGGCGAACCGGCAAACCGGAGCCTACCGATCGCCAACGGCTCAAGCATGTGTGCTGAAGCTCCGGCTTTTGGGCATCGCGATATGCGGTCCCGGCTCATGAAGCTTGCGCCAAGCATCATCACCAGCTCGCAAGATTGCAGGGAAAGTGGCACCACGAGCAGCAGCGACCGACAGATCCAAGCAGCCGCAATCCCACGAATCAGTTCTGAGTGGGAAGCGCCGTCGAAGCGGGCGATGATGTTGGGCAACCCATGGTGCCATATGTGTCATCTAAAGTTCACTAGACCAGCGGTCAGAAGTCTCCAAGCTCTGCGCCGGGTCTGGATCCAGTTTCCGGACAGAGAGCATAGTAGCTTCCAGAAAATTGGACCATGATTATTCTGATGCCCGGCTCAGAGCATTCCAGGTACCAAGCGGCAAGAGGTACGTCAACAACCCAAAAATTGAAGAACTTAGATTTCAGATGTTCTGAACAAGTGAAAAATTAAATGTATAATGATGTGCAATGTTAATGGATCAATTCAGAGTATCGGTGCTGGCTCGTGAAGGAGTTGTGTCCGTGTTGTGGACGACAGTGCGGCTGTTCTGTGAATGTTCAAAAATAGCCAACTCGTCAAGCCTAGAAGAAAGGCATGATATCCAGCTGTCTCATGTTTCGAAAGCCTGTAGCATTTCGGCTGCTCGTCCTGTGTGCAAGGGCTTCGAGATCTACACCCTGGATCACAAGAAAGGCGGCGAGGCTCGCAGCCGAGAGTCGAAGTGCTGGTTGGGTCGATTTTGGGTTTGTTTCTTTTGCACAAAGGCGCTGTGTCACGCTGTGAGCGAGCGAAAGCTCGCCGACGCGGTTGCAAGCGTAGCTCTCAAGACCTGTGCTTCTCGCCAGCTTCGCTTGGATGCCACCGTGCTGTACTCCGACAGCTGCGACCTGCCGGAGGAGCTCGGTCATCGGCTTTTGTTTCAAGCTGCCTGATGCTGCGAATCTTGCGAATTGTGTCGGGCAAGGAGCTCATGCTTGATGCAGAAGCTGCAGAGTGCTCTACACTGACCTTCGCGCACAAGCACGAGGACTGTTTTTTCCATGCTACTGTCGATGTAGAACCTGACTATCCAGATCTCTGAAGCCATTTGTGTGCAGAGATGCATGGTGGCTTGCTTCAGGACTATGACCATGCGCTGTGGTTTTCCGCATATGTGCCGCAGGTGGGCCGAGGGCTGAACCGTGAGAGCAGCGGATGACGCAGCCGGTGACAGCGATTTCACATGAGTTGCAACAGCCGGCCAGCAACAGGAGAACGACGGCTGCCTCATCCCAGACGCCAACGGCACCTTGAATCCTGCGGGCACGGAGATGGACTTCTCGCAGCCAGACCAGGCAGGGACAGAGCTAAGAAGGAGGCCCATACTGCTAATCCTCCCAATGCGGTTCTTTCTTTTCTTGGCTAGTTGTATTGCAGATGCAAAGTGCTTGGTCAATCTTCCTGGAGGTCTGCTGGTGGCACATGAAAGATGGAGCGGTGCTGGGCGTGCACAATGGCATGATCATTGAGTACGATGTCGACAACCTAGCCCTGTCACCCTGTTTCCTGCCCACGTAGTTACTTCCCCCTTCTTGCGCAGGCTTCTACTCTCGCACCGCTTGGCATGGT